TAAGAGAGCCCAGTGCTGTTACATGGACAGTAAAATAAGTTCCTTGATATGAGTCAATGATGTCAGGAGGACAAAATGGAGGTAGTATACACTTAGATTACCTGGATCTCATAGGTATTCCTGATGGGTGTACCAAGCAATAGGCTGGTGAAAATATCCACACATGTAATGGTAAAGTGGTAATACCTGCTGATGAAAAAAGAGCCACTATGAAATCACCCTTCCAGGGGCGCCTGGGTGGCGCAGTCGGTTAAGCGTCCGACTTCAGCCAGGTCACGATCTCGTGGTCCCCGAGTTCGAGCCCCGCGTCGGGCTCTGGGCTGATGGCTCAGAGCCTGGAGCCTGTTTCCGATTCTGTGTCTCCCTCTCTCTCTGCCCCTCCCCCGTTCATGCTCTGTCTCTCTCTGTCCCAAAAATAAAATAAATAAACGTTGAAAAAAAAAATTTAAGAAATCACCCTTCCATCAACTAAACAGTGGTGCATTAATGGAACAAAAAAATGAAGAGGCAGTTTCTAGTATTGGGTTTGGAAGCATAATTTAGAACTCAAAACAATACATTTTGCGAGGGCTTCCTTAAGCAAAATGACCCTGCTGTGGGTCCAGGCCATTATGGCAACAGTTCCTCATGGCCCAAAGAGATATGGGACCATTCAGCATGGAGTAAGCGGTATAAGGCTGGACTGGTGGAGTTGAGTATAGATTGATTCTAGAGGTTGTAATGGGCTGTGGTTTTGTGGTAGTGGTGGGAGCAGACACGGAGGTTGTCTGAGAGCCCCAAATAGGTGGTTGGAGCAAGTAGTGAAGCAAGGAAATCTACCTTGTGGTTAAAGACAGCCTCTGACAGTGTGTTTGTGTGTGCTAAAAACCAGGTAACCTTAATTGTGACTGGTGCCAGGGCAATATCCTTCCAAATTGCAGCACCGCAAATGGGTCTGCCTAGAAGGTAAAAATCATCCCACTGCCATTGACCTGACCATACTGCTAGCCCATTAGTTCCCACCCATGAGTCAGTAAAAATATGGACCAGTGGCCTGTCATGGGTAAAGGCACTGTGCACAGCCATTGTACTGCCATAAGCTCAGAAAACTAAGCTGGTCCTGACTTGCCATCTTTGAATAGCATGAAGCTGCTGGCAAGATGGCATGCTGCTGCTCTCCAGTAGGCTCCACTGTGTTTGGTTCTGGTGCTGCCATCCATATCCTCAACAGGACAATGTTGAGTATGGGAGCCTTAATAAAGGTACCTTGTGTATTTACATCTCAGTAGTTGACTGTAAGGCACCAGTTGGCAAGCTTTAACACTGGCCAAATGGAGGGATTCAAAGGAGAAATGGTATGTTTATGACTCCTTCCTTTAATTATGGGCCTATGGGCTGTGGTCCTTTAGTCCCTTGTTGCAAGCAATACTGGGGGATAGCTACCATCTTAATCAGGAGCAGAAGTCTTCTGGACTCTCAATGTACAGTTCCCACAGGCAAGGCCAGGAAATTTGGGTTTGTTCCAGATAGCAAGGAGGTATATCAAGGCATCCATACCTATAACAGAAAAGGTAGGATCAAAGGGGCCACCACCATTCAAAGATTTTTAATAAAGACTTCCAAAAGTGACAGTTAAGGGAAGTTGAATGCCTTCTACTATCCTACCTGTTATACCTTGTAATTTAAAGGGTGCCACTTGTTTATGTTTGGAAGGATTGCCAGGAAGCAATATAATTTAGTTTCCAGTGTCAATGAGAGCAGTAAAATATCTACTCTGTGTGTCCTAATGGATAATTGGAAGTATATAGGTGATTGTAGAAGAAGATTGTAGAAGCAGGGACCCCTGCTGAGTCCCTAGGGCAGGGGTCTTGGAAGCTACGTCTCTCAGTAAGGGTAGAGGATCCCAGATCCTGTTGCTGAGGCTGGTGCATCTGGAGGGGTGATGGTATCCAGCTTTGGAAAGGAGCCATCAGTCTCCTGAAGTGCTTGCAGAGCCTGAACAACATCTAATTTGTATTTGGGGTATCCAGAGGTTAAGTCATTAGGGACCTCTGATCTCTAGAAGTGCCAAAACAGAGAGTTTTTATGATCTCATGAGGAAGGGTGCTGGTTTGAGATGCCACCACTTGGTGGGGACTGATAAATGGTATAGGGTCCCTCTGTTGGGTTCCTGACTAAGGGGATAATGGGGCCCATTTTCCTATATAAGCAAAGAAGATTTGGACTTCATGAAAAGTCTCTTTTTGATGTCTAACTATAGCATTTATGCAGTCTAATGTTTGTTATACAATATCTGACATTTCTATGAATTATAACAGCATGGCCTTACAATTAGGGGAGGGGTACCCTTTAAGAAGAACTGTTTATATTCTGGTCCCAAGGGTGCCTCCTCTCAGTTAGAAATGGTTGAGGGTCTGTGGAAGCATGATGCTCAGCGAAAAGGTATATACATTGAACCATCCTAATTTTACATAAGAGGAAGTGCACTTTATCCAAGGTTGTCAATTTACAGAGAGCTCTGGCTGTAATAAATGTGATGGACATATGGGCCTGGGATCAAGTCATAAAAATCCAAGTCAGGACAAGCAGAGCTCCTTCCTCCTAATCCCTCTGAGTCAGAAGGCTTAGGAAGTCTCTCTCAGAGTCTGTTTTTTTTTTTAATGTTTTATTTATTTTTCAGAGAGAGACAGAGACAGAATCTGAAGTAGGCTCCAGGCTCTGAGCTGTTAGCACAGAGCTCAATGCAGGGCTTGAATCCATGGGCCATGAGATCATGAGCTGAGCCGAAGTTAAAATACTTAACTGACTGAGCCACCCAGGTGCCCCATGTCTGTTTCTTATACCTTGGTGGCTTGACACATTTGGGAGCACCCTTTGCTAGCACATCTCAGCTACTGTAAGCAACAGCTCAGAGCCAGTTCCAAAGACCTGTAGAAGATGATTATCACCCTTTTCCCCCTTCCCTTCATACAAACTATTCTAGCAAACTTTGCATTTCTATTAGTTTAATTCTATGTCTCCATTGCTCATTCAGACTAGCCATCAGCAAACATTTTGGTACAATGGATAGTAACAAGGACACCTTGAAGAAAGTTTGCCTCTTCCCAGATCCATATGCTGTAGCCCCTGGTTCTAGGGTGTCCCAATCAACTCCCAAGGGATTATAATCCACTTCTTCCAGTACAATGTAAATTTAGGGCTTGGGGGATTTCCCAAAATACATGAGAACATAGCACCAGTGATTTGTCACATTAATATGCCATGATGCTCAGTATAGCCCAAGCCATTTGAACATGAGTCTTACGAGAATCTAGTTATTTCTTTTTAACCTCCTCTTGGGATTGGGAAGAGCTGGTAGTACATGCTCAAGGGCCCCCATTTTTAAATAGAATTTGTTTATTTGCACTATGCCAGGTGTGGGACTCCTGATCTCTGCACCCCCCCCACAAATGCCTTGGCCCCATTTGCCCATCTGGGGTGCCATGCTGCCCTGAGTAGTGTTGCCTCTGTTATGGGTTAGGGCTGGCTCCCCCAGCTCAAGTACCTGGTCCTAACCATCAACACTGTGGACCTAGCAACCAATATCTTCTTCTGGTACTATTCTAAGGGCAACTTTCCTTGACTCCCAGGACCTGATAGCCTATGCTCCCATTCTCTACCTAGGGGAAAAGGGCAGAGTCCTATCACCTCAGTTTGCTCACCTTGACTCAATACCAGGACCTTTGCATATGATCAAAACCATCAACTCTAGACCCGACGCCTTACAGGGTCTTGTTTAGAGACTGATGGGATGTATACCTACCTCTGACTACGACTGGCTGGCTAGTCTCTGGAAGAGTTTGACCTTTTACAGAACTGACAATTTAGGGTGGAGATTCATGGCAACATCTGGCAGCAGAAGCAGAAAGCAATTCCATAGCCTGCCAATAGGCAGTTTCTTCTCAGAGAAACTAAGCAGTCTAGTAAACGAAGTTTTTAAGCCTTTTGAAGCCTTAAGGAATTGTACAACGGTACAAACTGCTCCCACAGTTCTATCTTCCTCATTGCCAATTGTATTGAGAAAGTGGAGCTGGTATATCACATTAAGAATATGCAGAATATGGGGCGCCTGGGTGGCGCAGTCGCTTAAGCGTCCGACTTCAGCCAGGTCACGATCTCGTGGTATGGGAGTTCGAGCCCCGCGTCAGGCTCTGAGCTGATGGCTCAGAGCCTGGAGCCTGTTTCCGATTCTGTGTCTCCCTCTCTCTCTGCCCCTCCCCCGTTCATGCTCTCTCTCTGTCCCCCCAAAAATAAAAATGTTGAAAAAAAGAATATGCAGAATATGACCTGCTCAATGAGTAGACACAAGCCACCCATCAGAGGGTAGTAGGTAGCTTACTCAGCATCCAAGCTCCCACTTTAGGGAGGTGAAATTCACAGTATTATTTTGATTATCAGTCCACTTACACAAAGAAAGTAGAGTCATTAGATTTATTACTTACAGATCCCAGAAGTGAGGGTATCCAACTGACCTGGAGGTAAGACAATCTTCCATCCCAGGTCACCAGTGAGGAAATACAGAGCACGGTAGCAAGCACCTATTACTTATAAGATGGTTGGGGTAGAATTCAAGTTTTCCAGCTTAACTCCTAAATGGTAATTTTAAAAGGTGCCTGAGAAAAGCAAAGTAGGAATTTATTGGGGAATCCTATGGTCAGGTCCTTATCTAAATGGTCAGACTGTGGGTGTGAGCAAGGTTATCATACTCTTAGAAAAATCAAGTTGTTTACTCATCATACAGCTCCTAATATCTTACTGTCTTCATAGTTTTTCTTCTTCCAGAATGTCATAGACTTGGAATGATACAGTATGTAGCTGCCTCAGATTGGTTTCTTTCACTTAGTAATATGCATTTAAGTTTCTTCCATTTCTATTTGGGCTTGGCTGGTTATTTCTTTCAGTGTTTTGAATATATATCTGCAAATATATCAAAAACTACTGCATTTTTCAGTTCTGATGGCTTTTAATTCTCTTTTATGGTCAATTAATCCTTTACAAAAGAGGCAAGAATACAGAATGGGTAAAAGATAGTTTCATCAACAAATGGTGCTGGGAAAACTGGACAGCAACATATACTTGTAAAAACTGGAATTGGACCACATTCTTACTGCATATACAAAAATAAACCAAAATTAAAGACATAAATGTGAAACCTGAAACTGTGAAACTCCTAGAAGAAAACAT